CCCCAAAACCCCAAAACCCCAAAACCCCATGTGAATTGATTAATTGGAGATCTGAAGCTATTTAATAATTATATTGATTTATTTAAAATGGTAGATAGCAGATTAAGACTGACTTCACTTGATAATGTAAGATTTCAATAAGATTCTGATCATTATTCAGTATCATATTGTCTTGGATGTTGGACTGACCTTTACCAAATGTGGATTTTCAAAAGATCCGATGCCCATGCATATTGTTCCCACCCCTTTGACAATGATTCAGTATCTTAGAGATCATGCCTCATCAGTAAGTCTTATTTTTTCATCATCATTCTTTTTAAACTAGCTGGCATGCTCAACATTTGCTGATGCTTTTGAAAAGCATAATAAGCTAATGATGGAACTTGAAGAATTCCTAACAACAGTGTTTTATCAGTAACTAAAATCTTTGTGTCTTTACAAGCATATCTTAGCTTATTACAAACTAATCCCAGAGAAAAAGCAATAATGATGTGTGAGAGTATGATGGCACCTAGAGGATTTATAGAATGCATCGGACATGTATTATTCAGGAACTTCGGAGTTAAGTCTATCTATTTTCTTCTATCAAACATGACTCCTTTATATGTGACTGGGTAGGACTCTGGCATAATAGTTGAATGTGGTTTCCAAAATGTCTAGATTCTACCAATAGTAAGGAGCAGAATGTGCATGGAGGCCTTTGAGACTTGCTACAGAGGTGGAATACACATTGAAAAGAACTTGAATGAATTACTGATTCAGGATAACAAAGAACTGGTTAGGCGCTTGCCATAGTTCAAAGATAACACAAACTTCCCTCAATCTGTTATAGAAGATCTCAAGATTAGGTCATTAGTAGTGATGCAAAAGGAGTAAAGAGATTAGTATTTGAAAAATGATGATTAAATCGAATAAATGAAGAGGAAATATACAAATCTCGGCAAGACTTATAAAGAGTTCCCGGGCATGCTGATATCATTTTACACTAGATATTGTGCTATGGAGTTTTGCTTCGGTGATCCACAAGAAGAGGAGTAAAATATAGCCTACTCCTTGCTAACTTCAATCAAAAAGGTAAAATCACTCAATTCTTATTAATCATTAAATTAGTTGAACTGTGAAAATAGGGGTCGAGCTGTTTAGAATATCATTTTATCAGGGGGTTCTTGTATGATACCAGGTTTCAAAACAAGACTCATTTAAGAAATCAACCATATGATAGAGAATAGAAGTGAGTTTGAGTAGCTTAAGGAGATATAATAATAGATTAGCATACCAGAAAACTGTTTCCCACCTAATTGCCTAGTCTGGGTTGGAGCATCTCTGCTTAGTTCTCTAAACAATGAGATAGATAGATTCTTGATTACAAGTGAAGAGTATAATGAAAAAAAGGAGTAGATACCAGATAGATATGGAGAGGCATTCTTATTTGGAACAAGATTTGAAAACTGCTTTAATAGAGATTTTGAGGAGAATCTAAAAATGCAGAAACAGATTTTATATAGCAATACTACTCCTTACTCGGCAAGATCTCTCGCCTCAAGAAGAGAACCAATCAATGAAATGATAAAGAAAAGCATGCAAAAAATGGATATGTGAATTGGGAGATAAAATTGAAAAATATTGGCTTTATATTCTTAATTTAATAATAATGCTGTAATTTATTAGTGTAAGCAATTGTCTAATTTTATTAATATATGATATATATTTGTTAATTTCTATATTATTTCAAAACAATCCTTTTTTTACTACGTAAGCATGCTGTTAGCCAACTATAAGATAAATAAATAAGAATATCTAACTTACATAGCCTTGCATCTACTTTACGCTCTGCTCTGTTGCCAAAGTAGTGATTAAAGTTCTTATGAGCATTAAATGAAGAAATTTGTTGATTATAACTAAACGGACTAGCTTGAATTTATTACTGTTACTTTGGGACTATAGGGCACACTCTCTTTTCCTTTGACATCGTCTTTTAATCAAATTTATTGTCGGGGAAGATTCTGGTTGAAGGTGAATAAGCTCCGGGACCAGGACTATGTCTTCCATAGAGCTCTACATCATATTCTTTGAAGTATTGCTTCTTGACATTTTCAAAACTTAAACCAAATTTACCATCCCCGACTGAAACTTTACCAGAGTAAACTGAAATTACCTAATCAGCACCATAGGCTTATTCTCTTGAAGTGGAGCTGTTGAGATTTGATTCTTTCTAGCTGAAATGTCTTTTGTGACTTAACTTGCCTCGATCAGTTTAAATGAAACTGGAGGAGACATTGTATGTTCCAGGACCTGGGACATAATCTGAGCTGATCATCTTATAAAATTCTTTTCTCTTTTTAGCGCTATTATCAATTGACTATAAATGATGATTCAGCAGTATTTACCTCATTTTTCATTAGAGACCTGTACTTTGAAGGTGAGTTATTTACTAGCAGCTCGCCAGTTTCAATTTTATCGGAAAGCTCACCATTTTAAGTGGTGACAACTGGGTTTGAATTGAACTCTTCTTATGAGATTGAATTCAAATTGCCTTTTGTATTCGGGTTAAATGTCTCATTGAAATGTATCATTGAGCTAACTTATTCAGATTAATCTTCTGTTATTTTGTCACTTTGATTAACTAAGGTACCCATGGCAGCTCGCTGCTTTTTAAAGTTCTTATCTAACAATTGGAAACTTGCTTCTATAAACAAACATTATAAATTGAATTATAAGCAGTTACCAGATAAATATAAAACAGGACTTACTAATTTTGATTGTCTAATTGTGTTTCTTCTTATGGGAGGCCATCTGACTCTGACTTCTCTTTGAATTTTGATCGCCATTGATTCTCCTTGGGGATTTCTTGGCCAAGTTTTTGAATTTCAAATCTATCGGAAATGATTATTCTCTTATGTTGTCTGAATGATCTATGCTTGATGCTAATACACTTTTAGTATTTCTAAATTCAGCATCTTCACCTTATGATTAATTAAGAAAATTTTTGTCAGGACTGGTTGGTAGAAGGCTATTATCAAGCTTAATTCTTGACTAATTAGTAGACTTAAAGCCATTAAGTAATTTTCCTTCTCCAGTTGCTTAAATGTTTGCTTTGTTGATCATTGGCAATGTAACCCCACTTTGTTTAGTTGATTTACTCTCTGAATACTTGTGAATGAATTCTTTCATCATAAGTTCAATTTGCTTTTGCCTAGACATATTTTTCGACAAACTGCTCATATCCAAGAGAGATTCCTAGTGGAGTGATTTGTTTTTCTGCACTTGAGACTTTATATACTTATCCATTGAATAATTAAAGAAGAAAATTGATTAATTATTTAATTTTATTACCTTTTGATAGTGTCAAAATTTAAATTAGATTTAGGTCTTAAAATTATACTTAGTTCTAAGTTTGAAGGCAAAATATTAATGGGTAGCTTTTATGAGGATTAAAATTAAGAATAAGTAATAACACTCAATCACTATCTCATTCATATCGAGAGATTATTTATAGTAAGAATTAGTTATAATATCGCCAAATCAATGATTATTAGAGCTGTTTAACCCACCACCACTCGGGCTATTATCTGGAAAATAAGCAGCTACTTATGGATTACTTTAACCTGTATTGATAAAAGCAATGATAATGGTAATATCATCTATCATACCTTACTCTCTGGACCATCGATCTGCTGCTTCCTTTACTAAGAATTGTACTGCACCCTCAGGATCGCCTCTGTCATAATACGGGTTAGCAATAAGTCTTGTCACTTCATCATTTGGTATCCTATCCCAAAGTCCATCAGATGCAATCACTATAAACTTGTCGTTGCTATTTAGATTTTGAATAGATTTAATTTCTGGCTCATAAGTTACTCCCACACTTTTAGCCACTAAATCACCCATTGATCTTGTCATCGCCAAGCCTGGTACTTACTTATGTTTTAGCCACACTCTCTTAGGTCCGAAAAATTATGGCTAATTTGCTTAGTATGAACTTAAACCTTGCCCATATCCTGGCTAGCCTGGCATTAACCTTGATTATTCTATTCTACCATTATTTTTTCTTACTCTAGTAGCCTCATCAGCTTCATCTGGCTTATGATCCCTGCTTAAAGGTAAGAAGGACCAAATACCCGCTTAATTTTAAGAGCAAAGTATAGCTCTTGAATCCCCTGAGTTAGCGCATATTACAGTATTGTTATGTATTAGTAATGCAACTGCTGTCGTGCCACTAAACATGCAATCAATCTTTGTTCCATACTCAAGCTTCTCTTATGCAATCTTAAAAGCCTCTTTTATCTATGTATCCCTAATAGTTTAATCTTTTGTCATCCATTGCTAAACTTAAGATGAATCTCTGCTATTATCTAGCTTTTCATGCATTGAATTTGCAGTAGTAACTTCTCCTGCTTTCGTAAATTGGTCATCATAAACTCCAGCATGAAAAGAATGCTGACTTAATGGATCTTTTTTAGTATTTTAATTTACCAGTGGAGGTAGAAAATGCCTACTACCCCCTTTGACTTTTCTTTTTTTCCCCTAAGCTGATTGCAATCCCTAAATTGGGTCAATACCATTTCCACCATTTATCAGATTACTGAGAATCAAAGGTATATTTCTTTTGCAAAAATCAGAAACAAGATGACCATTCATACCGTGACCATCAAATACTCCCATAAACCAACATCCTCTGATATTAGCAAACTCTTTTTATATTATATAGGCATCTTAATTTGTCTTTTTCGTATTTGGAATAAACCCCTATCTTGACTTGCAAGAATATCTTTCAACAACACCTGGGAATTATTGTATTCTATCAATTGATTTATTGGATAGTTTGAAGCTATTATCCTTAATAATCGGTCTTATTAAATCATTTTAAGCCTAAGGTATGGTTCCGTTTGTTCTTGTTCCAATTTTAGATTCTGATTTGTTTCTAACATGTTTTGAGTTCATTAGGACCCATTTTGTTGGAATAGTCTTTTTATCTGTAAAGCTGTTATTTACTTGGTTGACTTAGCTGACTTGATTTAAAATATCGTCTACTTCCTGATTAATATCAACAAAATCGTGTCCTCCACTTCCTTATCTAGATCCTCCCCCAGCTGCATTAGGCCTCTTGTTAGTGAAGTCAAAAGATCATTTCTGCTCTATGATCTTTGAAATATTCTGAATATTACTCTGCTTCATACTTGTAATGGGATTCGAATTTTTGGCTAATACGCTTTTAGAATGCTTATCTATGGGATCTGTCAGTATTCCATTGTAATTCTAAGTATTAGCGGCTCTCAATTCAGTATCAATAGTTTTCAAGTCCTCATTTTACTAAAATTTAATGTCTTTCCCTTTTTGTACACTCACTAACTTTATACTTGTAAATAAAATAGAATTGTTATTACTCCATGTTAAAGAGGGTTATTACCAAGATATTCCTGATTTTTTTCAAGTTGTGTTCCAGGTATCTTTCTTTATATGAGATTACTCACTCCAAGGTTTGTCCCGATGCGCTTCTTTTCTAGGAAAGAATCCTATACATTGTAATAATGATTGCTATTTAGAAAGGAATTCAGTTCATGAATGTTTGATGGCTGAACTTAAAATGAACCGCTACAATAGAATTGGTTAAAGAAAAAATATTACTGAGAGGGTTGTTGTTATTGATTAGCGGACTATGCACCAGAGTTTTACAAGTTTTAGAGATGGTTTTGTTACTGCGAACTTAGCACTAATGTTTTGGTATGATTTGTTGATTACTATTGATCTTCTTTAGAATTACGTGAAGAGGGTACAACTAATTTACCTAGATTACTAGAATTTTAGTTAAGAAGGCTGCTTATTCGCTCTTTTTCCTTCTTGATGCTTAGCAGATTATCCTTGTTTGAAGATTGGTGCGGCTATCCATTGATAGATTTCTATGATTTTAAATTGAGTGCTGTTCCCATGATGTTGCTTGTCTCTGAATGATGAAGCTGCATTAAATTACCTCCATGATTATTACCTGCAACATTTCCACCTACACCTCCATTGTACCCATATACCATTAGATTATTCTTTTTAGTTCTTGCATTAAGATTTGGCTACGGGGAATGAGATATATAGGCATTTTGGAAAACACTACCACCTCCGTTATTAAGACTATTTTAATTTAAACTCCCATTTTGTTGCAAATGGTGACTATGATTTTATGAGTTCTTGCCAGAGAGTCCGTTTTAGTACTTGTCAGAGTTCTAGAGCTATTTAATTGGCAGCTTTTGCAGGTAATTGTTGTAAATCTAAATGGCTGTAGGCTGATTATGATTTACTGAATTATCGTGATTTTAATGCTTTTTTGCTCTCATTTTACTTTAATATTTATTTCCAAACAAATCCCTTTATTTCATCCTTCGGGGTTTTGGGGTTTTGGGGTTTTGGGGTTTTGGGG